AGAGGGACAAGGGATGGTTCGGGTGTGTGCACATGGTGGCATGCGTCTTTACAAATGTTAGACTCCCTTTGTACAAGATAAATGGCCTCCGAATAACTGTGCATCGAATTTCAGTAAAACCAATCATACTCTAATTGTGCAATGGGAGTTCTTCTTTAAAGGAATAATGACCAGTGATGATGGTAGCTACTTTCTATAGGTCCTGTGTATCTTGCCACTGAACCTAGGCTGAGTGCTTAACCCACCTGGTCACAGTCTATAGAGGGACCTGCTTTTGTTGTTCCCATTTTACAGATGAGGTGACATGTGCACCGAGGTTAGGCAAATTGTTTGAGGTCACAGTTGGTGGCTGGCTGTGTTGGCATTTGGACTCTTTGCTCTCTTGACCTGCATCCTGAGCTCTCAGCCACACTCCACCACCTCCTGAGTTATAAATAGTCTCAATGATCTCTTGCATCGGAGCATATTCTGTGTCTGAGAATGAGTTCTGTGTTTATCACCACCCATTATCTCCCACCAACCAGCCTCACAGCAGCCTCAGTGCAGGTTGGATCATCCCCATTCTACAGATTGGGAGGCAGGTTCACTGAGGCACCATGGCTTGTGTGATGTCCACAGCAGTGAGTGGCCGACTCAGGCCTGACACCCCTTTCTGCTGACTCTAGGTCAAGCAGTTCTCTTCCTGGTTCACGGGTTGATAGGAAGGATAGCGTGGGACCAGCTCTCTCTGTCTTCCTGCTGTTGCCTTCTCCCTGCAGTCCCTCCCTTTCTTGCTGGGTCTCCACTCTCCCTCACCAACTCCACGCCATCCGTCCAGCCGCCCTGCTGTTCCCTGCCCTTTATGGACATCCCACGGCCTCCTCTGGTTCTCCATTCAGATGCCCGTCACCACGACAGCTTCCCTGGCCTCCCTGCACAAAATGACAGCCCTGGCACTCCCTCCCTTTCGGCTTAATTTATTTCTCTTTTTATCATTTCTCACCACCTGGCCTATTTTACATAGACCTGCTTTAAAAAAAAAATCTGCCTTTCCCTCTTGAACATAAGTTCCATGAGGGCAGAGATTCCATCTCTTTTCTTTCTTTACGCTAAGCCACCTCCTGGCATGTACTTCATGGGCATCCTCTGTGTGTAGGAAGGATGTGGTGATCCTGTCCCTCGGGTTCCCCCTGCTCTGGGTTGAACCCTAGGAAATTTCGTGGGGGTGAATGCTGCTGCTAGGTCCATATGCACCCGCAGCGTTCAACTGGCATGACCACCCCCCCTCCCCCACGCCCCTCCATTGATGCTTTATAAATGTATTAGGGGCGGAATGATGTCACCGTAATGCATTTTGGGAATAGCCATGTGGTTTATACACACTTGAGTTGCTTTGAATGCAAACCTGACATCATACTGAAGGCAGCAGCGAACAACATATGCACAGTAAACAGGCAGAGACTGTCTTATTGATTAACAGATGAGGCCTCTATTATCGATCAAAGCTTGGCGAGGAAATTTATCACTTTTAATTTCAGGGCTGCCAAATATTTCTGCCTCTGAGCCAGCCATTACAGAGACAATTTAAAGGCACAAGCCTCCCCGGGAGAGTGGATTTCGGGATTTTGTCTGGCACACTCAGCCCGCTTCTTTGCTCTTTGGCTTACCCTGGAGAGTTGGGGGGTCAGAGTGTCTCTGGGCAGGGGTAGCAAGAGTTTTGGGGCTTCATAAATGAGGCTGGCAGTGGGAGCTGATGTCTGTGGTGTCTATGTAACGGAGAGCCTGACCCAGGGTCCCCGAGGACAGGGACTTTCACACACTGCGCTCCGTTCCATGACTTCAGCACATGGGGTGTGGGGTGGGGTGGGGTGGGGAGGACATTGAAGGCAACCAGATGCGGTCAGCCAGCAGCCTTCACTAGATCAGCGTGCTCATCTGTCTTTATCTTCATCTGAACTTGTCTGGTGGTACACATCCGCCCTTCATTTCCTACCTGCTCCCCCCACACCTGCTCCCCCCTCCCTTTGTCTCTATTTCTCAGCCATTAAAGTGAGACGCTACTACAACCCACACGGATGGCCGTTTCTAAGAACGGCTGCACACCACATCCCTTGAAGCCTGTGCACGGTCAGACTCCTCACTCGATCACAGGGCTCCAGCACAGACGGCCAACGACGGCCAAGCCCAGGAGGCGCCCTCCCCGCCAGTCTTGTGGAGGGAGCAGTGAGAACAGATAGAACCAAAGAAAGAAATGCAATTAAAATCAGATCCCTTACAGATCCACAGAAAATCATTGACGGCTAATGATTTAGGACTAGGGGGAGTTGCTCACTGTGAGCACGCTGTGGCTTCATCCAGCCCAGATCCCCCATCCTGGCCTGCGCTGCTCTTTGAGGCACTTTTCTATATTTCCTGCGAAGATGGATGAAAGCGGTGCCGGCTGCTGCCTCTGTGAACACACAGACACGGCTTTGCTGGCCTCGCCGGAAGGTATTTTCTTGGCTGCTTTTTCAAAGCTCTCTAAGCCATGTACCAGGTGCTTGGCCTAAGGATATCCTGCGGCTCGAAGGGACACCCAGAGGTCATTGTGGAATTCTCCCTGCCTCCAGGTGGAACTCAACCCCAGCCACCTAAGACAAATGATGATATTTATTTTTAACTCTCCACGAAAAGCAGTTTCATTTCTCCCCTGGGGTGCTTTATCATTCATTTATTTAGTCAGTCACTCCTATTTATTGAGCACCTACTAGAGTCTCATCAGCTCATCATTTGGAATATAGACAAGGTCGGCGTCTTCATCCTCATACTTGCTACTGGTTTTACTGGGTGTTTAAGCCTTTGTATTTTGAGTTTAAATTTCTTAAGTATATGCTAATACTCTAAGGAAAAAGTTGTTAAACTTTTAGGAAACATTATATAAAGCCCTGGTGGATAAAATGGACAGACTTATTTTCCATTTTTTTTTTTCAAGTTGAGGGAAGGGAGCCCAGACTTCACCTTCTTATCCTTAAAGCATCTTTGCATATGGAATTCTATCTAAGGAGGCTAAAGATACAGGGATTAAGAGCGAAGGCTCTGAAGTCAGGCTGCCTGGATTTGAATTCACCTCTTCTATTACCCACTGTGTGACAGTGGGCAAAGTACTTACCCTCTCTGAGCTTGTTTACTCATATGCTAAGTGGGGGTTATAATAATAGGTACTTTAGTTCTTGTTAGGATTACATGAAATGATGTACACTAAGCACTCAGCGTACATACATACCTGCTATGTATTAAAGCCTTGGGAAATTGGAAGGGGTGAGAAAATAGCACTAGGGGCTCTAGCTTTGTGTAAAAAGTAGTTCTGGCTCCAATGAGACTCTTATGCCTAAATAAACCCACAGGCACACTTCAAGAAGTGCTCAGACATGTTAAAATGAACAAAGTGGACAGGACAGAACGGAGAGCGGCTGCAATGCCTGGTGCATGCATACTCTGGCTTTGAAAATGGAATGGGGCTGAAACAGAGGGATGAGATTGGGAATTGCTCAAGCTCAGAGACTCAGGGAGAGTCGAGCAGCTCCAGAGAAGACCATGGGGACAAGCTACCTGCAGAGGTAGATGGCTCACTGGCTCAGGTTAGGGAAGTCAAGTAGAGGAATTTATAATCAGTACAAATTGTGAGCCACTGTGTCCTTATGACTAGGGAAGTGTGCAGAATCAAGTGGCCTTCAAGGAACCTGCCTCTGTTGGGTGAGTCAGAGGGTGGCTGGCAGTGTGGAGGCCAATCTTGACCCCTACAGTGTTCCAGACATGACACAGCAGGGTCCTGTGCAGACTGTGATTGTCCACAAGCATGGGAGAGAGATGTCTTCAGGACCTTTTGCAGGAAAAGTGCCAACCCTCAGCCCATGAGCAAGAGAACGTATTAGAGCCTCCAAGGCTATTAGCCGGTGGTAGAGGTACCGTTTCATCCTGACATGGTGACCTTGTCACTTTGAGCTTTGTAAATAACAAAGTTCTAAGGAAATGTATTAAATTGGGTTGCACTGAGTTGCTGTTGTTTATTCCACAAATATGTACAGTCACAGGTCACCACTGTGCCAGGCAGGTGCAGCCATGCACAAGATGACATGGTCTCTCCATCAGGGGGCTCACAGTGTGGCAGGAGAAAGAGATGGGTCCATGGGCATTTAGAACAGAGCATGGCAAGGGCCACAACCTGGAACATAGAAAGTGCTAGAGGAGCAGAAAGAAGGGTCATCTTACCCAGACACGAGGGCACGGGTGTCAGAGCTGAGACCTAAAGGATGAGTAGGAGCTGCAGCTATACCACAGAGCACAGGGGACGGGGGGAAGGATGTCTGTGGCAGAGGACGCATGAAGAATGCACAGCACTGAGGAAGGAAGAAGGCAGCCCCTCCATGGAGCAAGAGCGAGGAAGGGGATGGAGCCAGAAAGACGAGCACCAAGAAGGACTTTGCGAGTCCTAGGGAGAATTTAGACTGTCCTCCAAGCACTGGTGAGCCATTCCAAGGGTGTTCAGCAGTCAGATGCAGGTCGTGGTTGGACGTAGACAGTGAGTTCATTTTGGGTATACTGAGTCCTAGGTCCCTGTGGACATCCAAGTGTGGGTGCATCAACAATGCCTGCTTTCCCATGCATCACAGGGCCACAGGGCACATTTCCCCTCCCGGGTGTCATTTGTCGCTGTCCATCCCTCAGAACTGGCCATTCAAAGTGCTCCTTCTCCATGGGGCATCTCGCCTGGACTCCATCTCCATTTATCTTAGTTATGCTGCTTTTGTTTCTTCTTCTCTCTCAGAGAGCCCTAGGTGAGGGCGTCTAGAATTTATGGGGGGGGGGGTGCACCTATTGGAGGTGGATCTGGCCTGGCTAAGGGGGCCATGGATTATCCCTGGCTCAGGATCTTCAGAGGTGTCCAGCCCCCTCCCCTAATGTCCACCTGCACAGTTTTGACCCAGGACTTTCCCGCCTCATGGATTGTCCTTCTAGTGGTAACTGCCTCTTCTTTCTTTCAGCGGGTGCCAAAGCCTTCGTCTGTGATCAGTGTGGAGCACAGTTCTCGAAGGAAGATGCCCTGGAGACACACCGGCAGACCCACACTGGTGAGTTGCCTTCAGTTCCCATTCTCCAGGTCTGCCTGCGTGCAGTGCATGGCTGTGAAGTACCTTGGTGCCTCTTGTCCTTAGCACACACGCTATCTAGTCACCTGCAGGGGTGCTGTGAGTGAGGACGGACCTCTGCCACGTGCAGCCACTCTTGCCTGTGGGCTGTCTGGACAGGAGTTCACAGGTGTGGCTGTGTCCCATGACAACAGCTGCCACGGCTTAGGCCCGGATCTCTGGGGTCACAGGCCACTCATGCTGTCACCATTGAGGCCTCTTGGATGAGGCCTTCGAGAGCCTGTGACTGATCTGAGCGCCCCCTTCCCTGAGCAGTGGTAGGAAACCTCGTGCATTCCCTCTGGTAAAACACTGAAACCCTCGTGTGGCCACAGTGGACTGCTCTTGATCCTTCCTTTGTGAGGGTTGAGTCATCGTTTAAAAGACATCAGTCTACACGCAAGGATGTATTTGAACAATATTAGCTAATATAGCTTTATTTGATTCCAAAGCATCAGTTTCACAGCATCAGTGTCATCTCATCCTTGTGATCAGTGTCATTGTCACCGTCCTTGCAAGAGCTCACATTTATTGAGTACTCATATGTGCCAGGCCCTCTTCTCGGTGCTTTACTTGATCCCACCTGGCCAATTTTTCAGTAACCCTGTGAGGTAGGACCGATTCCCATGTCAGAGAAGAGAAAACTGGGGCTCAGAGGAGGGGAAAGGACTTTCCAGAGTTCAGAATGGGGACAGCTGTGGTAGAGCCTTAGATTTCAGAATTCAGAAAACCCAGGTTTAATTGTGACTCTGCGACCTCCTATTTGTGGAACCATGAATAAATTACTCAAACCCTGTTAATTTGGGTTTCGTCTTCTGTTAGAAAAGTGGAGTGGTAATAGTATCTGTCTCTGAGCAGAGGGATTCAATGAGATATTTTAATTTGAAGTCCTTTGCAGGGTGTAAGGACTTAGCTCAGAGTGAGCATTCAGTGAACAGTAGTAGATGTATTTATTGAGTTCCTACAGTGAGCTTGGCACTGTGTGGACATAGAAGACACTCAACAGTTCTGCTCTTCATGCAGCTGGGATTCTAACTGAGAGACAGTATTGGGCTTTCAGGTCAAGTTATAATAAATGGTGTTAACAAAAAACAAAGAAGAATAAGGAGGAGAAAATAAATATTTTGGAATAAAATGGTCATGAAGAAGGGATCTTTTAAAAAAATTATTCATTAATTTATTTGTCCTAATTTGTTATACACGACAGCAGAATGCATTTTAAATGGGCCAAGGAGCTGAACAGACACATCTAAGAAGAAGATACACAATTGATTAACAAATATATGAAAAAATGTTCAACGTCTCTAGCAATTAGAGAAATGCAAATCAAAACTACTCTCTCAACTCCAGTCAGAATGGCAGTTATCAAGAATACAAGCAATAATAAGTGTTGGCGAGGATGTGGGGAAAAGGGCACACTTCTCACATTGCTGGTGGGACTGCAGATTGGTGCAAGAAGGGCTCTTTGAGGTGACATCTTAACAAAATCAGAAAGTGAGGGAGTGAGCTACTCAAAGGTTTCTGGGGAGAGATTCTAAACAGAAGGAATAAACCCTTCCACAGCCCTGAGGCTGGGTTGTACCTGACAAACTCAAGGAACAACAGCACAAAGAGCAGTGTGGCAGACAGCAAGGAGCAAGGTGGCAGATGAGTGTAGAAATCAAGCAGGTCTCTCAACTCCAGTAAGGAATCTGGGTTTTCTTCTGCATGGGCTTAGAGTCTTTTGGAGGGGGAGAACATATTTGCAATTCATATACCTGATAAGGTACTCACAACTAGAGAATATAAAGAACACTATGATGCTGAAATAAAAATATGAATAACTGAATTAAAGAATGGGCAAAGGATGTGAGTCGACAAGCCTCCAAAGACAGACAAATGGCCAGTGAGCACATGAAAAGATGCTGCACACCACTAGCCATCAGGCAGGTACAGATCAAAACCACAGAGAGACACCACTTTACACCCACTAGGATGTGGCCATATAAAAGATATAGATAGTTGCAAGCATTATTGAGGATGTGGAAAAATCAGAACCCTCTACATTGTTAGTGAGAATGTAAAATGGTGCAACCACTTTGGAGAACCCTCTGGAACCTCCTCAGAAAGTTAAATATAGAGGTATCATATGACCCAATAGTTCCACTCCTGCCCGTCGACCAAGAGAAATGAAAACATGCATCCTCACAAAAACATGTACACAAATGTTCAAGGCAGTATTATTCATGATGGTCAAAAAATATAAATAACCCTGTGCCCATCCACTGATGAAAGAACTAATAACATGTGATCTATATTTATGCAATAGAACATAATTTGGCTATGAAAAGAAATGAAGCACTGATATAAGCTACATATGACATGGATGAACCTCAAAAATATGCTCTGTGAAAGAAACTAAACACAAACGGCTATATGTTATATGGCTCCCATTTAATGAAATGTCCAGAATAGGCAAATCCATTCAGACCCAAAATGAACTAGTAACCAGAGGCTGAGGGTGTTGGAAGGTATATGGGGAGATGACTCCTAGTGAACACAGGATTTCTTTGGGGGGGGTGATAAAAATGTTCTAAAATTGATTATGGTGATGGTTGCACAACTCTAAATATATTAAAATTCACTGAACTGCATTTTAAAAGCATAACTTGTGTTTATGATACATGTATCATAACTCAATAGAGATACATGAGTGTGTGTCTATGTATATGTACATATCAGTGAACTTAGTCACATGCTAGTAAAAGTCTGGTGTCACACAGGCTGCCACATGCAACATACATCAAGACACACAAACACACGTGAATTTATTGAAATAGAATACACATAAATACTTGTTTATATATATAAACACACATATACACACATGCACATGAACATTTAGAGAGAAGAAGAAAAATAATTCCTTGGATTGTTTTTTAATTAAATTTTTTTTTTTTTTTTTGGTGGTGGGGATTAAGCCCAGGGCCTTGTTCATGCTAAGTGTGCTCTATCACTGAGCTACACTCCCATCCCCATTGGAGAACTTTCTGTGGGAGAATGACATAACTTGATTTATGTGTTTAAAAGAGCAGTTTGGCCCCTGTGCTAAGAGTTGCAGCCATCAGTTGCTGTGTCACCAACCTTTTCCACAGCAGCTTAAAAGAATGAAGTGTTATCTCTGACCATTCTGTGAGTTGACTGGGCTCAGCTGGGTGGTTTTCACTTGGGTCCTCTCATGGCTGCCATCAGGTGGTACCTGGGGCTGGATCATCTGAAAACTCTTCTGGGCTGATGTCCACGGTGGCCTAATTCAAATATGACTCAGAGCCCCTGCACATGGCCTCTCTACAGCCAAGTAGTTGGGGCCTGTTACACAGCAGCTCAGGGCTCCAGGAGTCAGGGGACGGACATTGCTCACCACCTTCTTACAAGCTGGGAAAATGACTATAGAAATACAGCTTCACTGCTGCTGTGTTTTGCTCACTGAAATTGTCACAAATGAGCCCTAGATTTAAGGTGGTGGAAGCCTACACTCCCTTTCCCAGTGGGTCTGTGAACCTATAGGGGAAGGGGAGTTGATGGCAGCCATCTTGGAGACAGGCCACCATAGGGCCTGGAGCGGAAGAAGGAAGACAAGTTCACTGCTGGAATAATCATGGCCATCCACATTTCTAAGTTCTAGTCCTTCTACCTCACAAACGTCTCCTACACGTGGAGAATACACCTCCTGACTCTGGTATTAGGGCTCTGGCCTGGGGCTGCCCTGAGGGGCAGGGCAGGTCACACAGGAGCTGCTGTTCTACCTCATGTCTCCCTATCTGGAGATCCAGAACTGGTTGTCTTGAAAGTCAGGGAAGGACAAGGTCTCCCAGGGTCCCAGCCGTTCTCTTATTGCTAGACCTCACGGAATCAAGAACCCCACGCTGAGAATACTAACCTGGGGCTGCTGAGGAGTCTTTGGAACCAGCTTTGCCGCACACCTGAATTCTGTCCATCCAGCTTATATTTGCAGCAGCCGGGGAGGGAGAGCTGCCTCCAGCCAGGGGCAGGTTGAGTCCTGAGGGGTGAGCACCCTGGCAGGCTGCTCCCAGGCTGACCCCAGGCATACATGGAATACCTCCCATGTGCCTGGTGCACACTGAGAACACTGGTGACAACACAGCCACAGACCTTGTTCTTGAAGAAAGTGGGAGATATGAGCGTGGTGGTCTGTGAACTATGCTTTTCCAGAGACCTTGTGAATGGAGCCTGCCTGTTGGAGGAAGGAGATGCCATCAGAGAGAAGTGAGCTGTCCAGAGTTACTGCTTATGTTGAGTAAAATGTGGTTGATATTCAGCATGCCATGTATGGTTTACTCAATAGATTGAGTAAACTGAGCTCTTGCAAGGATGAATGTTCGTGAGAGGTGAGAGGAGACCAAGGTGGTAGATTGGAGTCAGGCTCCCCACCAACCTGGGCTGGGCTGTGGGCAAGCTCCTCCACAGCAAGGCACCTTGGCTCAGGCATTGTGCGTGGTGCCAGGAGTTTATACAACAGCAATCTCACCCTCTGTGTAGGGTTGGCAGCAAGGTGGCCTTCGTGACACTCATGGCTTCCTGACACATCGCAGAGTTCCTTTATCACTCATGGCACTACTTCCTGCTGAACTCAGACAGATCCTCGGTTCCCCTGATAAATCAATGAGAGAACACAATGTGAAATCTATTTGCCATCTCTGTTTGAGGACAGGGGACCCAGGAGACGGGAGAGAGGCCTGATTACAGGGGATGCTGAAAATAACACTCAAGCTACCAGAGAGGGACAAGCCAAGTGCATGGTGCCAGGTGTCACTGGAGAGCCAACAGAAGAGCAGGGAGAGAGCTCTGGAAAGAAAGGAGTGTAGAATATGATAATGCACCTGATATTTTTGATATTGTAATTTATAAAGCACTTTATTATTCCCCTTTTACAGACGAGGAGA